GGGTAATTTCAGTAATAATCATTCTAGAATTTGTAATTAAGATGTATAAAGGACACCAGGATGGGGAAAGAACATCCACTAAGCTGTTTATCTACTAATACTGAACAATTCTTTCTTTTTCCTGACATTAATTATAAACTATAAAAAATCTATTTTTATATCATTTTCTACAAATGATTTATCATTTTCTACAAATGATAGCTCCACAAGTGCTGAAACTAAATGTTTAATGAAGTTTAGCAAATGCATATTTGTGATAATGTACTATATTAATCGCAGATTCAACAAAGATCTCAATGTGAGTTGTAGAGAACATAGCATACACACACACAAATGGTTTAGACAAGACTAAAACAATGATACAGACCATATGATTAAATATGTTCCCATAATTTTGAACACCAAATTGCTTCAGTATTTATACTGTTTGGAGCAATGGATTACACATTCCTTTCTCCTATGCAGTTAACAATGATGAACCAAGATCTTTATGTTAATACCCATTTCAGGTAGATCTCTCTCTCAAAAAAAAAAAGAAAAAAAAGAGGGAGTGCCAGACTCTGCAAGACATGCCATTGGCAAATGCCAAGCTGATGCATATAAATATTACTACTGCTTAAATTACAACAAAGTGGTATATCATAGAATATGCCAATAAAATAACATCAGCATACACACAGCTGGCTACTTTCAGCAATGTTCCATTATAAATTCTAAAAAGAATAAATTAAACCACAGCAAATTCTAGTCAACCAATAATACTTAACTAGTTAAATATAGTTTTGTAGGCTCACATATGCACTATCTATTCTGACACCAGTATTTTTTTACATTTTTGAATTATAGATTCAAATTTCATGTAAATTATATGACTACAGGATTGGATTACAGGACACAGTAAGATGGCAGCAAGCATGGAGGAAAAGTAATAGGGTTAGTGACAATAGAAAAGAGTAGGGGGGTTTTCCTATTAGCTAAATTAGAATATTAGGTATGTTAGGTGGAATAGTTACTCAGGCCTATTTATGGAATGGAAATCATACTGGCTGTCCTGATCTAGGGCAGGACCAGAATAGGGAGTGTGGCTTTCGTGTTGGATTTCTTGGCAGCCTTTGGTACCATCAACCATGGTATCATTCTGGACTGGCTGTGAGGGTTGGGAGGGCAAGGCACTGTGTTAACAATGTTTTTACTCCTTCTTGAGTGCTGATTCCAGCTTACTTATTAGATTTGTATCTTGTCTTTTATTCATGAATCAAGTCAGCAAGCATAGTGTTCTTTCCTCTTATTTTTTCTCACAGCAGCAACTCTAAGAAAGAGTGACTGGCCTAAAGTCACCCAGGGATTTTTCACAACTGAGGGTGAAGCAAAGCCTGGGATTTCCCACTCCTAGTCTAACACATTAACTACTGCATCACATTGGCTCTCTGGTTTTAACGGACAAAGACGTGCATAGGAAACTTCACCTCATACAGTATAGGAATGTTTGCCATATGCTTCTCCAAGTATTTTTCCCTAACTGCTGACATCAGAGCATAGCTAGGGAGAAAGAGTTTCCATTACTTCTGTGCTTATTATACTAAAAAAGAGGGATGGTCCACAACCCTCTTTCTATAGGATGAAATATATAATTGCACAAAATAAACAGCTGGTGTGACCACTTGGAGCAAACCCCATAGTTATGTGCGTGATCAACTCTGTATTTTGAAATAACAAACTTCAATTATATTCTTAAACTACATGTTTATGTCTCTATTTTGTGTCTTTCCTGTTTTTTTTTTAATGGCAACCCATGGGCCAGCTGATAGAAATCTAAAAAAATACAATGTAACTACTGAAGAAAATTTGAATTCTTATATTTTCTAAATTTCAAGCAATTTATTACTAATTTCAGATTTTAGAGTCCTTTGCTCCCAACATTTTGCAACCTTGAATCCCACAAGAAACTATATGAGAATGCTGCAATCTGATTACTTTTTATTCTGTAGAAACATAACTTCTTTTTACTTTTGGGACTCCGTTGCTTACCCCTGATGTAGCTTCCCTTTATTTTCCTTAAAAGGTAGTTGTGAGAAACATTTTTAATCTCATCTTGAGTAATATTTGGTAGAGCAGGAGCAACCACATGAAAGTTATTTAGTGACAAGATTCAGACTACATTTGGGTACCCCGAGATTAAAGCTTAGAAAAATACCACTTATAAATCATTAACACACAGCAATATATCAGTGGAATGGAGTTAGCTTGAAAAATTTTCTTGGATATCTACCATAACAACTTACACCTATGTACTATCAGATACCAGGCTATCTGATGTTTATGATTATGATTGTTTCAACAAAGGCAACAGATTCCATAAAGAATCATTTCAAAGTTACATACAGAAGGAAAAGACAGATTTAGGTAAAAGCAAGCACTTTCATAGAAAACATCAAGTATTATGCAAAAAGCATGCATCAAATTTATTGTAATTTAGTACATGCTGAACAACATTTTCATTCACCTTGTTATCTGACACCCCATTATTAAAGATATACTGAAAACAAACAGACCCAAGATAATCAGCTTGGGTCAAAGAGATCAGTAAGCAAGCTATAGCTGAGTTCATGCAGCACTCTAAGTCAAAATACAATTTGCCAGGTTTGCTTAGCAAGTTATATGAACCCATTCAAGTGCAATTTATTGAAAATCTATATGTGGGTATATAAACTGCAGATTATTTATTTATTTATTTATTTATTTATTTATTTATTAAACTTGTATGCTGCTAATACTAGCTGATGTCACCCAGATACTCATTAAGGGTAAACTTAAAACCACATTTCTGAGAGCTATTTATGCCACTTCAATCCTATTTGTTAAACTATTAGTGTGTTCCTTAGGTCACATAGCAACAGATATTACAGTATAGTAAGTGGCTTATTTTATTGTTTCTTAGAAAACGGTATCTAGGATTTCTTCCACAACATCCTGTTAGAATTAAATTGAATCACTTAAGAGTCAAAAGGAGGAACAGGAAAGTCAAAACTGCAGATAAGATAAAATGTGACAACAGCCTTACCTCAATTCCAGGTGTTGCTATCTTTAATGCTAGTATTTAGGGAATTAACTAATTCTTCATCTGGGCATTGAGGAAACCAAGACCTTCTGGGAAGTAGCATTAAGGAGAAAATAAAAGACTTGCACAGAGCAAGCTTTAAACAGGAATTATATCAGCAATTCAGATTAAGCTATAAATGATTTTCTCATTTAAATTAAACCTATACTCAAGTATTTTGGGAAGTTTGTTAACCATGTGAAAGTCCAGTATATGGTAGTTTGGCTATCACCTGCCTCAAAGCTATTCAAAAGTAATGATTAATTACATATAATCAAGCATCTACCCTGTAGCATAACCACTTAGCACATAAGCCATTCTTATACACATATACCCAGAAGCAAGTCCGACTAAGTTAAACAGCACTGACTTCCACATAAACAGGCGCAGGACTGTAACCTAAATCACAAATGCAACATAAATATTTATAAATGAATATTTATAAACAGATGGAGGATTTTCTCTAATGGGGCTGGGTTCATATGACAAACTAAACCTGAGTTTTACTCATAGCATCACCCAAGATGCTTTGGCCAACAAATAAACTGCATTATGGCTTGATTGATTCACAGGCAGCCACAGAATTTGAGCCTTTGGCCTTCTGCCATTTGATTCCCTCCAGCCTGGTTCACACAATACTGTATGCTAAAATAACTGCTGGATTCCCACAACATGCGGAAGCACAAGTTATCCAATCCCATTTTAGTCCAGGCTAGTGTGTCCTCTGATCCCCTCACGGTTGCATTGATTAAAATCAATAATCAAGGAAGGAGATGAAGGGAAGGCAATACAGTATCGCCGGCCCTTCCTCGGAGCTCCACGCTCCTCCTTAATCATAACCCGCAGGTGAACTCCATACAATTCTGCGCAGGTAAGGACACGTGGGAGGAAAATGCCATTCGCGGGAGGACAGAGGAGATGAATCTTTCCCTCATCTAGCACGGAAGAGCTGCGACCGGATGCCCCTTGTTTTCAAGGGCCGTTCCGAGCCCAAACCACCTCGGCCCCATGACAAAAAACCGCGCTCTTCTCTCCGAGCGGCCCTGTCCAACACCTTGAGGGCAGCCCGGCGCCAGCCACCCTCCGCTCTCTCTCAACTTGATCTTGCATCCCAGCGCTCAGGCGGAGGACAAGGCAAGGCGAGGGGGGAGCGAGGGAAGGAGCAGGCGGCCAAGTGCGTATTTGCTCAAGAAAGAGCACCAGCCTATCTGCACAAGCGGGCTTTCCCTCCCTTGCTAAAGCCGGGACTCGGTGTCCCCAAACCTGAGGGAGAGAGAGGGAAAGTCAGCGAGAGACGGGGGCAAAGGCAGCCATCCGGGAAGCGAGAGGCGCCTCCTGTCAGCTCCTCCAACCCCCTTCTCCTGACGCACCTGTGGCGGCGGCGGCGGCAGCAAATGCTGGGCTTCCTCAGCGCAGAGACCCCCTG